TTACTTATTCTACTTACTATATAATACTTCCTTAGACTGCAATTCTTACCCTACTTTTTACAGTTTTTTTTTTCGCTTACACACCTATGTATCTATTAAATTATAATTCAAAATGGGTTTCCATTTAGCCTCTAGCATCTTCCTATCATTAAACTTAGCCGCAATGTGACATTCAGTTTCATATTTTCTTTTAACTAGTTCCTTATACGAAGGGAAAAAAAGGAAGACTATTATTCCTACGGCAATTCCATAAATGTAGCTTACCTAAAACGATTAAGTAATTAAATAAAGAACAATTAGTATCTGTGACACCAATTAAAATAGTCTTTAACTCAAGTTTCCTTTGTTCTTTGGCTATAGCGATCCAATAAGATTCAAATTCTTCCCAAAATGCATGTGAGTAAACACAGTAAAAGAATAAGTGATCAATTGTTTCCGCACTAGTATTGCAAAAAGTGCAAAGATCGCTTTGTATTAAACCTATCTTAGCTAAGCGGGAATTTGTGAATAAAATGTCATTTAGTATTTTAAATTGAAAGCATTGCACATATGTCTCGCAGATACAGGACCTTATTAATGAGAAGGCCTTTTTGTTTCCACATCATCAATAGAAAATTTAGATTTCAACTTTGTGAAGCCTCTGGACTCTGTCGCCTTACTGGATATAAGCAAACCGTAGAAATCCCTAGACTTGCTAAGTGCTGGATCAAAGATTTTATCACCGATTTTAAATTGCAGTGATCTGACATGATCTTTCTTAATTTCGTGGCATCGAATTCTTAGATGACTTGGTACTGCGCAACGAACACCAGTCCAGGTCAGAAAGTTGGAATCTTTTAAACCATTACGTTTTGCAAGGTTAAAGGACTCTGTGTTACTCAAATCAAATTTTAAGTCGCTTAAAAGAATAATATTTGCGCTATTATAATTATAATAGAATAAAGGTTTGCCGTTTACTCTAATGTTATGATTGTTCCAGATGATTGTTTCACGTAGACTTACAAGATCAAATTTAGAACGAAAATCAGACCACCAGTGTAACATCTCCTTATAAAATATTGTGGAAATGTTATAGTCATTAATATTATAATCACAATGAAGAAAAAATTCTCCACCAAAAGGTTTTAGTAAATGTAATAGATACGCTTTCCAGGGATAAAAATTATCGCTTAGAAATCTTCCAATCCATGAAAGTCGGAGTGACATAATTGACGTTGTAAAATCAGTTACCTTTAGGCCACCAAATTCAACATCATTTATTACTGCTGTCCTGGCGATTTTATCAGGACCCTTCCAAAGAAAATTATATATAATTGATTGAAGGGCCTTTATGAACTCCAAAGGAGAAGGAAGAATTGACGAGATGTATAAAACTTTAGGAAGTAGTAAACTCTTAATAATTGTAACTTTACCAAACAGAGAGGCCTCCCCAACTCCACAAGCGTATCTGAGATTTAATTCCTTTAAGCTTATCGTAGAAATTCTTTTGCACTGATTCTTCGTTATTGTAACTAAAGTGAACCCCTAAAGCTTTTACAGTTTTACGCCATTTCAATGCTAGAGGCGTTTCGATGTTATTACGGGAAGAGCCAATCCACATTGCTTCGGTTTTTGTATAATTCACCTTTAGGCCAGAACATTTTTGGAATTGATCAAGTAACTTAAAAAGGTATTGAGCAGATCTGATATCCGATACAAAAAGCTGTTAAATCATCTGCATACTGTACCATTTTTTGAATTCTTTTTCATCTATTTTGATTCCATCTATTTCTGAACATGAGCGAATAGCGACTGCTAGTAGTTCCATAGCAATGATAAACAAGTAAGGAGGAAGGGGGTCTCCCTGCCTTACACCTCGATTTATTTCAAAGCTAGCTGAGAGCGTTCCATTGTTGATAATACAACTTGTTATGTTACTGTAAAAGGTTTCTATCCATCTTGTAAGACTGGATCCAAATCCAAAGACTTCTAAGCATTTGAACATAAAATTCCACTCCAGACTATCAAAAGCTTTCTCAAAATCTATAAAAAGTAGCAATCCAGGGATTTCATAAGTTTTCGTGTAATCCATTATATCTAGAATTGATCTTGCGGCTTCCCCTATGTAGCGACCTGAAACGTACCCAGTTTGATTGCTATGAATGATTTCGGGTAAAACTTTGACAATACGGGTCGCTATAACTTTGGACGCAATTTTGGCGTCGACGTTAGTCAAGGATATTGGCCTCCAATTTTCTAAGTAAGTTCTATCCTTGTCCTGTTTCTCAATAAGAGTAATCACTGCCTGTCTCTGAGATGGGGACATTTCCTTCTTCATAAAAGCTTCATTAAATGAATTAATCAAAGTATCACTAAGTAATGGCCAGAAGGTGTTATAAAATTCAATGGGTAACCCGTCGTTGCCTGGCGTTTTTGCAGTTGGAAAAGTTTTGAGAACGTTCTGGCATTCTTCCGCAGCTATTCTACCCTCACATATTATTCTTGAATCATGTGAAATACTGGGTAAATTTGGACTATCGAAAAAAATCGATGATTCTGCATTATCTAGATTAACATTTCTGCTACGATATAAGTTCTTATAAAATTTGCGTTGTGAATCCATAATCATAAAGGGGTCAGTAGAAATTACACCGCTAATGTGCAGCTTTCTTACATGCTTTTTAACATGGTTGCGTTTCTCGAGATTTAAAAAATATTTGTTATTCTTTTCACCGTGTTCGTGCCATCGAGCTCTTGCGCGTAGTATAAGCGCTTCAAGATCCTGCTTAGATTTTTCTAGTGCCAGACGCGTATTGTTGCAAGGATTTGTGTGAAACATTAGGACTGCCTCCTGATAACGTTTATTTAATTCCTCTTCTTGTTTCCGTCGAATGGAAGCTATTTGTTTGGAGAATATGATGGAGTTTGACCTTATATTAAACTTGATCCAATCCCACAAAAGTCTGGGATCATGTATATCTTTACCTGCATCCAGCCAGGTCGGTAAATTGTTTGTTATCATATGTTTATAATTTTCATTTGCCAATAGAGAAGTGTTCAGTTTCCAGAAGCCAGCTCCTCTTCCACTTGATTCGATTTCTTCAAGTTCTAAAAAATAGCGGAATGGTCTGTTTTGATCGAGGGTATGATATCGACCTTAGTTACCAAATCATGTAATTTATCGGATATTAGCCAGTAATCTAGTCGGCAAAATATAAAAGGTGAACAACGCCCCCAGGTAAAGCTTTGCAATGTTGGGTTTTTAGGCGCCAAATGTCGTGCAGACTGAATTCATTTTGCAATTCATCTATAGAGTTGATTACATATTTTCGAGGAATCGGTAAACCACCTTTTTTTTTGTCAAGTGTGATGTCGAGAGGACAATTAAAATCTCCACCTATAATAATGTTTTCTTCATTACCAAATTCGTCATTTCTTAATAATTTTGATAAATTACGATAAAACTTGACAGCATCGGCGTCTTTGTTTGGGCCATATATGTTTGCAATTATGTATATCTCATTGTTAATAGCAGCTTTTAGAACAATAAACCTGCCATCCGAACTTATTTCACTTTGTTGAATAATAATGTTCAAACTATTCTTTATGAGAATTGCAACACCTCTAGCATTTGTACTGCCGTGTGAAAATAAAATAGAAGCGCCCCACTCTTTTCGCCACTGATCCTATCGTTCTGTTGTGGAATGAGTTTCTTGTAAAAATATTAAATCGGCTTTTTGCTTTCTACACC